TGGACGTCAGTCTGAGCTAAATTAGAATGGCTCTCCAGCACCTTAAAAAAGGAAGTCCCCGGGCGAGGATGGAATTAGAACGGAGCTTCTGAAAGCAGGTGGAAAACCGGTATTTGAAGTCCTTCAGAAGCTTTTTAATTCCATCCTCCGTGGTGGCAGTACTCCGGAGGCGTGGAGCAGATGTGCGGTGGTTTTGTTCTTCAATATCTCTTGAAGAATTACAGACCGATTTCCCTTCTGAGCCGCGTCTACGTGCAGTTTTCGATAGTCATTACGAATCGTCTCGCACGCAGACTTGACGACTTCCAGCCTCCCGAAACAGCCGGTTTCCGAAAAGGCTTTAGTACCGTGGACTACAAACATACCCTGCGGCAGATTGTACAGCAGACAGAGGAGTATAATCTGCCAAATTGCCTTGCGTATGTGGACTATGAGAAAGCCTTTGATTCCATCGAAATTTTGGCGGTGCTGCAGCGGTGCTTCAGCGGTGCCAAGTTGACTGTCGGTATATCGAAGTGCTGAAGTTTTTGTACAGTAGAGCTACGATGGCTATCCGAGTACAGAATCGGAGTATGAAACCTATCCAACTGCAGAGAGGTGTAAGACAGGGTGACCTTATATACCCAAAACTCTTCACCGCTGCATTGGCAGACATTTTCAAGCTACTGGACTGGAAAGGATACGGTATTAACATCAATGGCGAGTACATCACTCACCTTCAATTTGACGACAATATAGTCCTAATGGCAGAATCCCTGGAGGACTCAAGCACTATGCTCAATGAACTCAATAGTGTTTCCCAACGGATAGGTCTTAAGATGAACATGGACAAAACAAAAATCATGTTTAACGTCCATGTCACACCTATGCTGGTAGTTGTTGCGAGCATTAAGCTCGAAGTTGTTGATGAGTGTGTTTACCTGGGACAAATAGTCCGACTAGGTATGTCCAACTTCGACTGAGAGGTCAATCGACGGATTCAACTCGGCTGGCCAGCGTTCGGGAAACTACGACACATCTTCTCGTTAGACACACCTCAAAACCTAAAAACGATATTGTACAACCAGTGCGTGTTGCCAGTGATGACTTACGGATCTGAGACGTGGTCCTTCACTGCTGGCCGTATGAGGAAGCTCAAGTTCGCTCAGAGAGCTATGGAGAGAGCTATGCTCGGGATGTCTCTGCGTGATAAACTTAGAAATGAGGATATCCGCAGTAGAACCAGAGTAACCGACATAGCCCAACGGATTAATAAGCTGAAGTGGCAGTGGGCCGGCCATATAGCTCGAAGAACCGACAACCGATGGGGAAGAAAGGTTCTCGAGTGGCAGCCTCGTACCGGTAGGCGAAGTGTAGAGCGATCCCCTACTCGATGGAGTGACGACCTGGTGAGACATGCAGGATCGATTGATGCAGGTGGCTCAGGACCGTGCTTTGTGGCATTCCTTGGGGGAGGCCTATGTTCAGCAGTGAACTTGTAAAGGGCTGTAATAATGATGTTGATGATGAGATATTTAAAAAAATGCGTCTTCACTCTGTTAAGCAACACAGTCAACTACAGAATACAGGCAACGTTCAATGTCGGCACACGTGGTACACTGTTGCAGTGTAAGCACATACACGTCCGCGTTACTCATCCGGGTAGTTCTGTCCGTCATAGGCCGACAAAATGGGTTTTGGTGTACACGTACCGTAATAGATGCCCCCGAACTTCACAATACCTTATCCATGATCTATGTGCCTGACCACTACTTGCGACATCACGCTGGCTTAGATTATTCGCGATGGCGTCGCGGACGCTGTCTCGCGCTAATTCCCTACTATGTCGATTACACTGTATTTTATTACATTGTATTTTTCTTAGTATACTTTTAGTTATGCTATAGTTTGAACGTTTCTTCTTATTTTAAAAAATTATTACTTACTGTAATTAGATAAAAAACCATTGTCATTAAATATATAAATAAATAAACAAATAAACTTTTCTATACCCTTAAAAATAGTCTGTTTTTAGCCCTCAAAATTTGACAAAACTACTGACTTCACCTCATCATCAGTATTAAATTGTTTTCACCGTTAGTCAGATTTTAATTTTAAGAATAGGTAATATAATAGGGGCCATGTCGGGGCTATATGGTAGATATTCGAGCTCAATGAAACCACATTCCTTAATGACAGCCTCCTAACAATTGAATTAAAACTTCTTTCTGTCGGCCTTCACAAAGCGATAAAAACTGAGTACAGCACTTCACCTGTTCTTGTTTTTGATAAGCGGAAAGAAGTTTTAGGACCCACCTAAGCTTCCTCTTTTTTCTGATAGGGTTTTAGGGCAAAGAAGTATCCACCGCGCTGCCCCAATGCATGTTAGCGGACTTCACATGTCTTCGATTTTTTTTATTTCACAGACATGCAGTTTTCCTCACGATGTTTTCCTTTACCGCCTTGGACGTGGTAAATGTAATGGCACGTGGACACCTCTCTTACGCCTATTTGTTATGACACATCGCGCACCGGTGTTAACTGCTGGTTTCTCTAGGTTAGTGATAGGTGAATACAATGTCCTACAAAAGTATAAACCTTTACCCTATCTATAAAAAAGTCCATGGTACCATAAGCTAAAATAAGGTATTTTGCGACAAAAAAACATTGAAAATTAATTAAAGATTATTTAAGAGTGTTATTAACAATAATATGTTTAATTAATACTTACGAAAGAAACTACATAATCAAGACAATTTTATTCGTAGTTGTAGTCCCACACACTAGTGGCTACAGTTTGTTACGTACTCCAGGTAAATACATAAAAAGAGATCTGTAGTCACGACCAAAAACTAAAGGCCGGTTCTTACAACATAAAAGTAGTAGATATTTTTTTAATAATGTAGGATTAGAAAGTTATAGATATTTTAATATGAAAAAAAAATTGTTAAAATAACATTTCTCTATCAATTTGTTATATCGGCCGTTCGATATAACATCAATAAATATAGTATAGCAGTTCAAATACATTAATATAATTCAAAAATAACATTTATCTAATTGTAAAATTACGGCAATCTTTCTAAAATCAAACTCGCGCCGGGCAGATCTGAAAAGCTTTGAAAGTTAGACAAGTAAAAATATTTTTTTTTTTTAATTTCAATTACATAAAGTTTTAAGATACAGGGTTTGGAGATCACCTTTTAAGCAAAGAGATGCTTGTTTTAGGTGACTCCGTTCTTCCACTTAAAATTATACAGTATATGTAATTGAGAAAAAATAAAAGAAAAGAAAGTAAAAAAAAGACAGATATGATGATACCATAGCCTCAATATCATCGTAGGTTTAAGTCTTAAGCCAATTTGTCACAGCTAGTTTACAGTCACGGAGTTTTAGAGGATAGATGTTGAGCTCTTTATTGAATAGGTTGTATAAGTGGGAAGATTACTTTGCATACTCTCTCTTGGCAAAAACAGATGTAACTGGGACAGTTGGAGCGACCAAGTAGTTTCTTCTGCTACATATAATCGGCTTTTTGGGGTCATACGGGAAGGATTTATGTTTACTCAGTATAAGGTGAAGTAGGTAAAGTTTTCTTACAGGCAGTAGGTTAGAGGTTAGGTGAAGGCTTTTGTTTGAAAACCTATAGGGTTTAAAAAGCATAACCTTAGGCATAATCTTAACCTTAAGAATAAATAACTCAAATTATAAAACTTTTATTCATTTTTAATTTCCATTTGCCGGCTTAGCATGAAAAAAGATAACATTATACCCTTCGCTCAATACTAAACTTAAGTTTAGCAAGCTAATAGTAGTTTGTGATTACAAAAGTGAATGATTTTATTTAAATCATAAAATATAATAATTGATTAGATCATAGAATACTTTTATTTTAGTGAAAACTATAATTTACAGAATTTTTGAAATTGCATCCAAAAGTGCTTCATAATAATAGAAACTCTCCCCTCATACAACATTTCCTCCAATAAATAAATTGGCAGCCTAACAAGAACTATAAGAATGAAATAAAGTAACGATCCGATTGTGCTCGTTATCCGGAAAATTCGAACAAGCAACGTCACTTTATGAAACATTATGTAATGTCTGATCCTAAACAAAAGTTCTTTATATATGAAATACTATTCATTATGTTCGGTTCGTTTGAGTTTTGTTTGGTGAAATTGGTATTTTATTTATGTTCTCCTCCTTCCAGTAAAAGAAATAATGATTGAATTTGCAGGATAACCTTATCTTTGTAATCAGCTTATATAATGTAACAAATTAATATTTGTTATTGTTCTAAATTATTACATGTTTTGTAAGGGCTTAAATAAATGTTCCTATTTTATTGTCAAGAATGTAATCGAAAAGTTAACTTTTTATAGGATAAAATAAAATTAATAATTATAATTATTCAAAATGACATAAATTTTTAGCACATTCCCTGTTCTGAGCTTTGTTTAACGTTTCAAGGAAGTCAGCTAAAAACGGATCTAACGAATATCAACCCACAAGGGGGTTACAGGGCCTTAATTAAAAAAAAAACACACATTTTCGAACTATAGCTCTTATAGGTATAAAACTTGGCCAGTACATAATTTTAGAATGTGTTTGTATGGGTCCCTAAATAATGGTTTGGATTCACGATTAGAGCTGGTAGGTGCCACTGTTGTCGATATCCAGAAATCACCCGTGCGAAGCCGGGGCGGATCGAATATTATAGGATATTTATGCATAAATAATTAATCAACATTGGTCGCGCGACATTCTTATCTATCCTATAATATATTCTAAATATCTTTATATTGATATTATATAATTCTACTCTCTATACAGAGACTATATATATATATATATATATATATATATATATATATATATATATATATATATATATATCAAATCTATCAAAATTATCAAATCAGCCTAAATTACCAAAATTCAAAAATTTTCCTAATGCTTCCTCTGGGGCCTCGCACAACAACTATTCTAATGACAACACAATCAATTCAGATAATTCTATGAAGCTAGAACTATCACAATTTTCCTTACCAAAAAATAATATTCCATATAAATTCTGGAATTCGGTTGATCCTTATTGTACACCCGTTACATTAGATGACATAAAATTTTTAGAATCCTTACGTGCTCAAAGTAGCAACACTACATTACCGCCCATCCCACCTCTTGGAAGGCATTATTCTGATGTATGGGCGGATGAACATTTAACGGAAGATCAAAATGCTGGCAATCCTAATAAGCTTTTAAAGTCATCTGGTATGTCACCAGAGGCAACAAGTTTACGAAAAAAATTAGAAAAAAGTAGTGAGAACATGATTACAGGTCCTTTAACTCAGAGATTAGTATCTGCTTTGATGGAGGAAAATGTCATGGCCTATGACATACCTGATATAAAAGTTAAGCAACCATCAAATGTTAAAAGTAGTTATAAAAATTCACTTACCTTAGAGAAGTGCCTAAGAAAAGAGTTGGTTGAACAAGGCATATTAGATCCTGAAGACTTACCACCATTAACTAATCCAGCAGATGATGATATTTTAGCAGAGATAAAAAAATGTCAAACTGAATTAACTGCTGTAAGAAAAGATAACTGTCGAAATCTCAAAAACCTGATTGGATTGTGTAAACAAGAAATGATTAGATTGAATTTAAAAAAGCAACTTGATCAAGTGGATATGGAGTGTATTGACATATATAAGAAGATGGTAGCAGCTAAACAGAAGAAACGCCCAATTACTAAGAAAGAAAAAGAAGATGCATGGAGGGCCATAAATGAACAAATAAGACTCAATAAAGAGATCAATGCTTTGCCATTAACAGGACCAAATACAAGTTAAAAAAAGTAATACTATGTACTATATGTAATTTAAATAATCAGTAACATGTTTAGCTTAAAAAAATCATAATAATATATATATGTATATACTCTATATGTGACTGAAGTCCTCCTAAACCGGCTGGACCGATTTTGATAAAATTTTGTGTGTGTGCACGGTGCGATTAAGTTGATTCGAGAAGAGCTTAGATTCACAATTGCCCGATAGGTGGCACTGTTGTCAAGATATAGAAATCACCCGTGCGAAGCCGGGGCAGATCACTAGTGATAAATATAAGAAAGTCAAGTAAAAAACTTTTTACTTTTTTACTTGACTTTCTTATAAAATCTTTAATATTAAATAGCGTAACATAATAAGTTAAAACGTGCTTCGTATCTAAATGTCAGTAGAACTGATAGTTCTCTAGCAATTTTATTTCTTTATTCAAGTACTGAATGTGAAAGCGGATTGCAATGCACACATTGCAATTCAATTTTGCCACTAGCGTAATATCATTTCCCTATACAGTGTTGTTCATAAAATTCAATTTATTTGCGTTAAAGCAGTGCATTTTTGCAAAAACTTATTATTACTTTAGAAACTTGGTGTGAAACAACATACAAATAATGTTAAAAATCATGGTAATAGCTTAAGACGATATCAGCCATAAAAAATATATCCGCCGGACGATGCACCCTTGATATCATTCGGTAGAGGAATCTTCTTTATCAGCTCGTAAAAGTTTACTTAAAAATATAAATAAAAACGTAAAAGTCTACTTTTGGATATGGAACGTGGGTCATGACATAGGAAGGGTTTATCCATCTATATAATCCTATATCATCTATATAGGTATATAATAAGAATTTAAGCAAATCTACTGCATTTGCAAAGCATCTGCAATACTCTCGGTGTTGCAGTTGTTCATGGGCGGCTTTTCACATAATCAAATCAAATCAAATCAATCATATGCCATCAGGTGAGCCGGAAGTGGTCCCGAAACATGATAGCACTGCGAGGGTGCTGGGCAGGTAATACTCCCGGGACGTGCTTTATATTCTATTATGTTACGTTATGTCATGGCGGAAGCCATACTGTTGGTCACTTAGCCATTAGATTGGCGTACAATATACGCTCCATCATCTTTTAAAGTATGGAGTTAATTAAGATTGGCCGCTTTTTGGAAGGTTCGGCACAGCTGCCCTTTTTGTTAACTGATGGCTTTTAGTTTATTTAATGGGGTATCATGATTAATTGTCAGGTGTGCTAAGTAAATGCTATTAATTTTTATTGATTTCAAAGATTCCGAATGGTCATAAACATATTCCTGTTTCAGTTCAGTACATTCAGTATTCTCAGAGATCGCAAATTTCCACTCCATCAGAAGTTACTGTCGTTCCGTCAGTCACTGATAGAAGCTAGGCCCCTGAACTACCACGTTTCGCTTTGACAAAGGATCAAAATAGTTTTGGGTTTTTTACTATACCACTTTCTATAAGCTTTATTTACCTATTGTGGCAATTTGTGGCCATATGATTTCTTATTTTACTTAGCAATTGCAGTTCAAGCTTATCTCTGGGATTTTTATATTTTTTGTGACAACACCTAATTTTATATTTTCTTTTTAGCGTTCTAATTAGATTCCGATTAAACCAAGGTGGGTGGGTAGTTGTCGTTCTTTGACGATTTATTAGGGATAAATTTAATGAAAACGTCTCGAATTTCCTGGTAGAAAATTTGTAGCATATCATTTATATCTGTCAATCCATTAACCAGCTTGACCCGCTCAAAACTCGCTAATTCTTTAAAATACCATCACAGTCAGCCCTGTAGAAATTTAATTGTACATTTTCAATATTGTAAGGTAATCTAATATTGTTCAATAGCTTGTGTCAATAAGTTCTGATTGGGTAAAGCTGCTTGATGGGTTGACAGAGGTAAATTATAGATAGAATAAAGAATCTATTTTGGTCCTTTGTCAAGGCGAAACGTGGTAGTTCAGGCGCCTATCTCCTATCAATGACTGATGCAATGAACGGAACTTCTGATGAAGTTTCATTAAATCTTTTAAATAGATCATTCATTTTATCTTCCATCACATCTTCTACAACTAGACCGATGTCTTCCATAGAAATGTTTACTATAGTTTGATATATTTAATAACTAAACATTCATTTCGAATTTGCTTAATTCAAGCGATATTATGATTATTTATTAGATTCCAGATAATATAGCCGAAATCCAATATAAAGCGTACGTTACGTACGTTACGCATTGTGACGCCTCATAATTATTATTAATAAATAATAATTAAATTCATTATACAGACATTTAAAAATGTCTTAGAAATTATAATTTAAACAATAAAATGCAAATAATAAGCATAGAGTTCAAAAATATCAATTTGGAATATTGAATATTATATATATTAGTAAACGCATAAAATGTCTCAAAAAATCTCTAAATTTATTAAAAACCTGCTTAAAATGTTCAAAATATATCAAATCATATAAATACAAGGCGATTATATTGCAATAACAAAGATAAATAACATTTGTAATATAATAGAAAAAATGGATTAAAATTTTCTAAGTTGATGAAGGAGTTCGTGTAATAATTGGAAAATTTCTAAGTTAATGAACGTGTTCTTGTAATGTACCCTTATATTGGGGCGTTGTCGGAGACACATACCCAAGGTTGTACATATATATGGGGTGGTCGGCTGACCGACTGCTAGTACTAAGGTTGCACAATGACTAGTCCTATATTAGGGACTTAACATAGTAAGGTCTGACGAACCAAAGCATTAATATAGAAGGTCTCTATGATGCATAAGCATTATGATAGCAGAGTTATGACTTGAAGTCCCATATGAATAAGACATACAGTAGTATGGTCTATGAAATAAAGCAAATATGTGGAAGGTCTCAAATATGTAAAAGCATTATATTGAAAGAAATGGGACTTGAAAAGGATTATTATAGTGGCGTGTAGGTTGCTTCGCAGCCTCTGAGACCGAGGTAAACTTGGACTCACTAACCGATGTGTCCTAGACATATCATCTTAGTGCCGGTGGTAAGCGGGTTTGTTGTAGCAATACGACTTGCCCGTGGACATCGCACACCCCTACCGGTTGTGGGCGGCGTCTTAGCGCATAGCGTTATGATACGTCGGCTATCTTTCGGATTAGGGTGAGTGTGTTTGGTAGTACTTTTAAGTGCAGCAAGCATACCCAACTTCATGTCTTAGTGCAATAGCGCTATGATACGTGGAGTTTTGGCTACTGACGTCTTAGTACCGTACTACTATGATACGTCGGTGGTATTTTTAGTTAACAACATTATCAAATTTTGTTACCAAAGTCGATAGGGATCATGTGGGTGTGTTGTGAGGGGGCGCCATCCGTATGATAGTTGCATTGATGCTTACTGCTACTTGCAGTATTGTGTCTTGTGATGGATCTGCGGGTGTGCTGCACCTGATTCGATGCATCTTGTGGTTCTGGTCGATGGAGGTATGCGGGTGGTGATGTCTGCTGGGACTGTATGGGGGACCTTGGGATGGTGTAAGCCCGACGATAGTCGTATTGATGCTTGTTGCATTCTGTAGCATTGCGTCTCTACGATGGTTGTTTGGCGGGTCGCTATTCTCAATGGCGCTCTCTGCGTCTTGGTTTGACTCACAACCTAAGTAGCTTTGCCCAAGTCGGGTCCCTTCATTGCGGGGCTGCAGACTGTCTGCCCTCCATGATGTTTTATATAACAACTTAATAATATATCTCTATAAAGTTCCCACCTTTGAGAGATTGAAGGCAACTTGTTGGTGGGTGAGACAAACATGATCGAAAAATGCATATACTCAACGTCAGTGACACAAACCCTTTCTGATGGCGAATTATTAATATTATCTTATAACTGCCTATTGGCTATATCTGCCATTGTATTGGTTGGTGGAGCATATGTGTTGACCTCATGCGGGTGGTAGCTGGAGGGAGAATCTGAGGAGGCTCTCAAGGCTGCGGCCGAAAGCCGCGCAACGTGGGACCCCATTCCCTTGAGGTGAGCGGTAGACTCATGACACGCTCTGCGGCCAATTGGCCGTGCTGACCATGCAATTGGTGGTGATGCCTTACACTTACATCACGTCTGCAGGAACGGCGGTCTGGCAGGTGGTGGCGCTCACGGAAGGCTTTTTATGGTCAGTGTGCCGATTGTTGCCTAACCCGTGTGACGTACATTTCACTGTGGCTGGATTTGATCGTATTCTGTATGGCGTTTACACGCATTGACATGCGCGACTTCGGTCGATGTTTGTGCTTACGCACTGTCAAGGGGCCAAGTCCTCTTTTACTGGTTCGCCAGTTATTTTGCTGTGGACTACGGTCCAGTTCCCAACCTTGCGTACCCTTCGGGGGGAGCGCATTAAAATGGTTGGCGCTCACCGTGCGCGGCGTGTGTGGGGCCGTGTACCTCCTCCACATTTTTTTTAAAATGTGGGAGAGCGAAGCCCTTGTAACTGGTATTTGATATAAATATTGTGAGCCTTTTCCAAGCGGGAAGGGATTAATTAATAAGGAATTGACTGTTGTGAACCAGATACAAGTGGAATAGGGACAATTTATTGTTCTTAACCTTTTTGAGCTCTGTCTTAGTGAACGGGGTTCTCTAGCTTATAAGACTCTACCAACAGCTTTCGATTGCTCTCGTGAATATTCATTCTTCCAAGATACACCTAAAAGAACTAAGTTACTATACAAACACAACGTAAAAAAGGGTCCTAACTAAGACGATCACGCCATAAATTTATTAAACGGCCTATATTTAAACCTTTAGAAAGATCAAGTTATACTGGTCACGTAAATTAGATGTATTTATATATCTTACAGATATAGATTCTAAAGAAATACAATTATAAGTGGGATATAGTAGAAAAGAAAAAAGATGGGGGGGGGGTTCGTTACAGCATCCTTAAAAGATAATTTTCACACATGAATTTATAACAAGCTGGTTATATTTAGTTAT